TGCCCCTTGGGTAGGGCAGGAGTCATTCTCTCCATAGCACAGAGAAGGAAACTTTTTCAGAGTAATCTAGGCAGTTATGGCAGAGACGGAACTTGAACCGAGGACATTCATAAACATTTTCATTCCATTTCCAGAGTTATTACTTTTTTCTCAATTTAGGAGAAAACCGATGTTTGGACATCATCCGTAACTCAGCTGGGAGGCTTTTGAGCGTCTCTTCTCTCTCCTTCATACAGCGAGCGGCCTTGTTTAGGCCAACTAGTGACTTTTCTTTTATGTGTGCATTTTTTCAGAGAAGTAAAGCATGTTCATCTCTCTGCTTTTTCTTTTTAATTATTAAGCAAACTTTGATTGAAGCTTAAGGTGTGGTACAGAAATACATTTTAACTGATTTAAATCTAACACCAAAGAAGGGCAAAATGGTGGCACTGAAACTTTCCCTTCACTATTCTGCTTCTTAATATGTAACTTCATGTGATTTCTTCCACCGCCATGTGATTTTTCACTCCTGTCCCCGTTCCCTGCCTGGCTCACCTTTCCCCATGGAGTCCTGAGGGGACTCTCTGGGGTGTGGGGGGAACGTGAGGGACTCCCTTTCTGACACTGGCCTCGGGCTGACCATAGGGGAGGGCGTTCTCACACTTGAGCAGAATCCCTTAGATGTCGCAGGAATCCAGGAAGCCCTCTGGAGGGGGAGGCACCGAGTGTCAGCCGAGCATCTCTGTCCTGATGACTTGGGGGTCACTGTGGGTGATGCCCGGTTCTTGCATCTGTGCCCTCACAGCCAGGTGGAGGGCAGTGAGAAGATGAGAGAATGAAAAGCCATTATAGCTGATGGCTGCACTATCCAACCGGACCGGACCTACCCACCAGAAGCTCACCCTACGGTCTGGTCTCACCTTCCTCTCTCTAGTATTAGCACGTGACTGTCTGTCTTCACGTAGTAGCAAAGCCATGAATCGCAGCATAATAAAATGTCTGCCCTGTGCTAGGAAAATCTTTGAAAATGAATGCTCTTAGATCCCGAATGCCATGTTCTACTCACAAGGAGAAATCATTAATAATTCATCGTTTTGCCCATTTGACTCACTGAAAGTTTTATGTATCCAAATTCTAAATACCATGCAATGGCTTCCAGCCATAACTTCATCTTCCCAAAATGTACCCCCGAGAGAATTCCTGAAGTATATATTGGCTGTAGCCCAGCTTGGACAACTCCTCAGTACAAAACAATTTCATTTTCCCGGCCTTCTTTATGCTCAAGACATTTAGAACTTCCCCCACAGGCAGGGGAAACTCAGGGTTCATTCTCCCCTGAAACTTTCAGATCAAATCCCAGATGCTGCCGTAGTTCAAGTTGGTAGTTCCTTCCTTTTTAGCCCAACTGTCCTTGCCCCTTTTGCTCCTGCTTATACCACAGTAATGTTCCTGCCCTAGAAACGCTGCTCTTCCCCAGACGTCCACAAGCCGGATCCCACGCTGCTGGTCTTTGCTCAGATGCCCACTTCCTTGTGAGGCCTCTTTGACCAGGCTGTCTAATGATGCATGTCTCTCCTTCCTGCTAGAACAGCAGCTCCCCAAGGGTGGGGGTCTGTGTTGTTCACTGTGACTCCAAGTGCCCAGCATAGTACCTGGCACATAGTAGGTGTGTGATAAATGTATGTTAAGTAAGTGGTGATAACCAGTTTTTCAAGACTGGAGAGTCTTAGAGATAGAAAAGACTTCAGAAAGTATTTAATTCCATGGTGAGGTGGTTTTTTAGTTTTCAAGAGAGTCAAAGGAAAATGAAAAGAGATGTGTGAGCAGAATTTATTTCTCATTCAAAATGAAATCTCATGGAGAAATAATGTGTGCTATTAAATCTTAAGCACATTTCAGGTTCCTGTCCTGAAACATCCTTGAGTATACTGGGGCATGTGCCTGCCCATGATCCAGAGTTGACTGGGACGGGGAGAGAGTGCAAGGTGAAGACACCTGTTTTGGGGGGTGGGTACTGTCTCTCTGTCCTCACTCAAAAGAAAGAAATGAAATAAACTGAAACAACAGTCTTGACCACTTACTTTATTACACGGAAGAATGCTGATGAGAAATTATAGACAGAGTTGAGAAATATTAAGTACAGGAAACTTTCTAATCAGCAACCTGGGGATGAAATACGAATCTTGTTTGTTTTTAAAGTTAATTAATTCATTCCATGAGAACAGAGATAGAGAGGGAAAGATAGAAACAGCACCCATGAAAGGGTGTGGATGCCACTACCCACCCTCAGCCCGCGACCGATCACTGGCACACACATGCCTGGCTTACTCAGGGAATGGTGGCAAACTGGCAACCTTCCCACATGGGTCAGCCTCGCAGTGCTATGTCCAGCCGCTGTGCTGCTGTCCAGCCCCTGGATTTCGTTTTGAACCCAGACAACACTCAGGACTCAGCCTGCTCATCACTGATCACTTGAAACCCTCATTCCACTTTACAGAGGAGGTACAGATTGTCCAGAGAAGAGAAAATTCTTTTTCTCAATGTCACATAGCTGATTAGAGGCAGATTCCAGAGCATGCTCCCATCCTGGGAGTGCTCCTTCTACAGGCAGAAAGAACAGAGCAAGAAAAAAGGCTTTGATATTCTTCTGTTCAATTAAGCTTAAGTGAGCATTAGATACGGTGCCATAACAATCAATGGGTATCTACTCATTGTGAATTGATGAACAAAGGTAGAAATCAGAATTATCTGTAATGCAATGTCACCATAATTGTCCTGCCAGTAGTTGCAAGGATCCCACCTGCTTGTGCCCTGTGGGTTATTATTATTTTTTACAATATTATCTTTTCTACTTTAAAATTTTTTATTTATTATTTTTTAAAATTTTTCTTTTTTTTGGAGAGGTTTTTGCTATAGGGCATGTGTACTTGCCAGAGAGAGACAGAGAGACAGAAAGCGAGAAATCACCCCCCAGGGGGGATGACCACACCGCAATCCCTTCTCCTCCATTCTCCTCTCAGGATCTTGGGCATGCACACACACGCACCCGGCGTGAGTTTAAGACACCAGGTCTGGGACTCAAACCATGGTTGACTACATGGCAGTTCAGTGACATAGCCATTATGCCAACTGCTGGTTCCCATTATTATTGTTCTTTAATTTGCCACAGACACATGTGCTCATCAGGGAGAGACAGAGAAAGAGAGAAAGTGAGAAAGCAAGTCACTAGGTCCAGAATCAATATTCATGATAGGATTAGAACCCTGATCATTCAGGTGGGAGTCCAGCACCTGTACTATCACATTACCTGCTGGCCCCAGCCCTGTGGAGTATTAATATGACTCAACACTTAACACGTAATGGGGTGATAGCGTGTGGGTGTTGCTTCAGCTGCCTGAGGCCAGGAAAAGTTCTGTAAGCCATTGGTCTACTTGTCTTTTTTTTTTTTTTAAAGAATTATTTGTTTAATTTTAAATTTATTAGTATTTTTTAATTTGACCAGAGAGAGAGAGAGGGAGAGAGACAGAAAGTGAAAAATCAAGAAGCTGCCAGGTCCAGGACTTGAACAGTGGTCGACTATGTGGGAGTCCAGCACCTCAACCACCATGCCCTGCTTGTCTTTTTAATATGCATATTTTTAGCCCAATCTTTTTCATACTATTTTTCATTGTATATTTCAAGGCATTGCCTCTTTTATTGCTGGATTTTTACTCTGGGTTGTTATTATTTCTTGGTAATATTACTTATAAATATATACAGATAGGTTCCTAAGCTCTACAGTATATTATATTCAGGTCATTTAATGCGTCTACTTACTTATAAGCCTTATTTGCATATCAATACATTTATTGCCACCAAACGGATATTGTGATTTGTAAGGGGTAGTTATTTTTAAAGCTGTTATTCTTTATTCTTATTTTATTGGGTTAAATATGTGAATGCAAAATATCTGCCCTGATAATTGAAATGTTCAAATGTCATTTTACTTTTCCATTGAATCAGCTACCCTGTAGCCTGCTGCTTTAAGGAGAGTTCTGAAAAGTCGATGGTTCCATTAGACCTGACAACTATAGTTCATAGAGAATCAATATTCAATGTACCCTGATAGGCTTTACTGCAGGGTTATCAAAAAGAAAAAGCCCATAAAATCCCCGCCTTCGGGGACCTTGATGCCTCCCCTGAGAGATTAGAAGGGGGAAGTAATCAAGTGTTTCTCAGAAGAGATCCAACCATCTCAGGTAGAAACTAGAAAAGTTGTAGATTTAATATACAGTTTAGAAGGCAAAAAAGGGTACAGGAGAGTTCAAGGTAGAAATGAAATGTTGGGACCAGAAAATCAAAGCCCAATTTTTAGACTTTTCTCTTCACATTGACTGATTTCGTTTATATTCGTGTGTCACTTAGTGATAGAATACATTCTGAGAAATGCATGGTGAGATGACTTCGTCTGGTGCAAACATCATAGGGGATGCTGCACAGACTTAGAGGGTACAGCCTACTAGACATCTAGGCTTTATGGTCTCTCTGCAATTCCCATTCCTCAAGGTCTCCATCTGCCAGGATCCTGGATCCTGTGTGCATCTGTGTGCATGCCTGGGGTGTTTTTCAAGCTTATGGGGCCAGGACTCTAACCCTGGATAGCCATGAGGGGTCCGTCTTTCTCCTCAGAAGACTTAACTGCTGCACTGTAGAACCAGCCCTACGTGGTTGATTTCAAAAGTCACAGTTAGTTATATTTGGTATTGTAGTATGTCACACATTGTCTGTACTGTAATATGTTCCCCATAAATCTTCAGGAACCAACAGAGGTTATTTAAAGGGGGGCAGTAAAGTCTACTTGCTCTGTCAGTCAGAAAGTAATAAGATGGAGAGAACTTCATCTTTCTGAGATGGTTTAGTCTCTCCTGAAAGCAGAGAACTAGTTTAGATAAACTCATAAAGTCTCATTTAGGCACTTTACTCTCTGGCTGAATCATTAAATGCAGTTAATAGTTGAAACTAGGTGTAATTTTCAGACTTACTTGTCAACATATTGAATAAGATCTGAAGTGTTCTTGGTTGACATTTTGGTTGGAGATAATTTTACCTAAAACAAAGATCACAGATTTAAAATTTATCATCTGCTACTTTACAGGTTACTCTTAACCATTTTATCCTTATATACATATAAAAATTTTAAACAAAACTTAAATTTTGATGGGAACAGCCCATCAGCCCAGTTAACCTGGAATGCCTCATTGGTATTGCTAATAACTAAAACCAAAATTAAGTTGCGTGGAGATATGAGAGAGAGATATTTCATAGATTTGGTATCAGAATTAGTAAAATCTTTTTGGAACGTTGAAGGCATAGATTATTCTTAGATAAATTTAGAATAAAATAGTCAGTGATTATTGAGAGGTGAAAGAAGTCAACACAGAGTGAATTGTTCCTTATATCTGATTTCAAAGGGAAATTGGCTACTTTTCAAAAATAAACTCTACTAGGGGACCAGCAGGTGGCGTGGTGGTTAAAGCACTGGACACTCCCATATGGCCGACCAGGGTTCGAGTCCTGAATCTGGTGGCTTGCTTTCTCACTTCCTCTCTCTCTCACTCTCACCCTCTGTCTCTCTCTGATCAAACTAAAAAATAAAATGAATGAACAAATAAAATAAATAATTTAAAACAAACAAAAAAAATAAACTCACTATTATAATTAAAAATCTAGTCTATTTAAGTACCTGAATGTAAGATTATTGTATATGGATTTACTTCAATGAGAAGTCAAAGCAGAGAGAAGTAAAAACTATACATGATTTACTGTTAGTATTCACAGTTAACCATATGAGCATTTAACTGACAACTTCTAATCCAGAAAGATGATACTACTGAAAGTTCTATTTTCATAAACGCTAATAGATAAAATTTAAATGCTGATAACAAATAGCAATTAAAAATGCTGATAATTTTGTACTGTTTTGAACTCTAACTCTTTTTAAGTTTAAAAACAGAACACAGATTTATCCTAATTTTAATAGTTATTACGGAACTGGATTCAATAGGGAGAGAGTGAATGGAATTTTATCTCAGTTAAAATTTAAAATGTTTGGGACCAGCAGTTAGCATAATGGCTATGTCGCTGAACTTCCATGTGGTTGACCGTGATTCACGTCCCAGACTCGGTGGCTTAAAACTCATGCTGGGTGCGTGTGTGTGCGTGCCCAAGATCCCGAGAGGAGAATGGAGGAGAAGGGATTGCGGTGTGGCCATCCCCCCTGGGGGGTGATTTCTTGCTTTCTATCTCTCTGTCTCTCTCTGTCTTTCTGGCGAGAGCACATGACCTATAGCAAAAACCTCTCCAAAAAAATGTAAAATATGTTCCTAGGATATTTTTTTCTGTTACTATCTTTATGTTATTGCATCCTAAAATAGAGGACAGGGTATGTTAAGACTCATGTACAGAAATCATTCCTTTTGCAAACATCTAAGGAACTACCACTTATTTTATTTTATTCCACAAATCCCATCTATCAATTGAGAGAGAGAGAGAGAAAGGTAGAGAGAGAGAGGGAGAAATACTCTCAACAGGGTCTAACAGTGTAACCTCTGCCCCAGCCTTTCCCAGCCAGCTTGGATTATAGGCACACATGCCTGATGTATAGAAGTCAACTGGAAACCAAACGCTGATCTTCCATATGACTTCCAGTATTACAGACACTGCACTGTGGCTGTGCTACTGCAGCTGGACTGGAACAACTGTTTCTTAATTTAAGGCCTAAGAAACTTAAATACAAATCTCCCTCCTAAAAAAAAAAAAAAAAAAGAGGCAGGCAGGTGGTGTGGTGGTTAAGGGCACTGGACTCCCACATGGCCAACTGTGGTTCAAGTCTTGGATCTGGTGGCTTGCTTTCTCACTTTCTCTCTCTCTCTCATTCTGTCCCTCTCTGATCAAATTAAAAATAAATACATAAATAAGTTAAATAAAATAATTCTTTTTAAAAAAGGAAAAAAGTAAGTCTGTTATCAAGGAAGGTATCATAAAAAAGGACATCAGAGAATAGTTAGGCTGTCCTGATCCATCCCTCCTGATGGGCACCAGAACAGGCTCGCGGCTGCTCAGGATGGAGTCCGTGAGCTACCGTGCTGGTGCACTCACCCTGTCTCCGTGGCTGAATCATCCTGATGCTACTAAGCCCGATCTTCCTCTAAAGAATGGATCTGCTGATCCACTGGGCTTAATATGGAAACCGTTTTAAATCAGTTGAAGACTAGACTGGCCTTCTGCTCTGACATGTTTTCGCCTCTGTTTCCTGCTGGAACACTACGAGGCCCTGGGCTCCTCACCTACTTCATCACATGGTTTTCTATCTCCTCCCCACTGTTCCCCCAGCTCTGTAGATGTCTATAGGGTCTGTTTTTGGTACGTCATCAGCAATTTCTTGGTCCCTGCTTTACATGTTTGGCAACCTCTACCTAAGTATTTGTGGAATGAAAGTACGGTGAATACTGTCCCTATGGGCACTGGATTACTAGGCCACTGTCTTCCTTTTCCTGGAAGCTAGCAATTGGATATATACCTATTTTATCTTTAGTTTATTATGTTTAAGTCTTCTTTTGAAGATCATAATAAGCATTTTCTTAAAAATGCAACCACAACACACACTTTTAAAGTGACAAATATTAAATGTGACAAGCTGGGAAAATACAGAAAAGTAAAAGATAGAGAGGAAAGCAATCTACCTAGAGAAAAATCTGTTAATATTTGGAATGCAATTAGTTATTCTCTTTTATTGCATTTTCTCCCTTTATTTTGTTTTTCTTCAGTTTTTGCTATAGTGTGCATGTGTGTGCCAGAGAGAGAGAGGAAGTGAGAGAGAAAGTGAGAAATGACCCCTCCCCTCAGGGGAGATGGCCATGCTGTAATCCCTTCTTCATTCTCCTCTTGAGATTTTGGGTATGGTGCATACATGACTTGTTCTGTGCATTCACCCATGTGGGATTCAGACACATCTACCATGCCACCAGCTGGTTCCATCTTTTACTATATTTTTTTATATAACTAAGACAGTACTAAAAATATAATACCTTTGTTAGCTGGATATAGGAGTCAGTTTGTTTATTCCCCTTTCTGTATTCTAAGATGTAATTATACATAAAGTTATCTCACAAACAACTCTGTGGTTATTATGGAATTTAAAAAATGTATTTAATTAGTTATATATTATTATCATTATTATTATTATTATTATTATTATTAAATTTGCTATAGGATAGATGTGCTCACCAGAAAGGGACAGAAAGAGAAAGAGAGAAAATGAGAAAGCAAGCCACCAGGTCCAGGACTTGAACTGCAGTCAGTCACGTGGGAATCCAGTGTCTTAACTACCATGCCACCTCGTGGACCCAGTGCTATGGGATTTTTTAATAGATATGTTCGTTCTCACTTGTTTCATAATAATCCTTTATAGTCCTTTGTGGATTTATGGACTTATGGATATAAAATACTTTCATGTATATGATGTGATTTCATTCTTCCAACAACTCTGTAAGGTAGGCATCATTATCTTCACATTACAGATGACGGTAACTACTTGCATCGCTGAAATTCTTTCTTGTTACAGAAAATCTTTGAGATAAGTATTTTTACAGTTGAGGCTTTTAAAGATCAGAGAGGTGACCCTCGATATCATGTAGATGATGAGAATCATACTACAGCTATTGACTGGGTTCTTCCTACCGGCTTAGTACTTTACCTAGTACTTTACCGAGGGGGCTCATTCAACCCCTACAACGACTTTGTACGACAGGCCTAATTAGCCCATGTCATAGGAGAGGAAACAGAAACGTTAAATAATCATCCAAAGTAACACAACTACTGTGCAGTGCAGCTAATAAAGACCGAAAATCAGTACTCAATATTGTGGTAGCTTTCCGGTGCTCTTTCTAGAACAAGAGACTGACTTTGCTGGTCGGTGTTATAAAAATTACAGAAAGTCTAAGAACACTGATGCTTGTTTTGAAGGTTATTTTTAATTTGTAGAGAAGATATGACAAGTACTAATAAAAACAATTCTATACAACTATTTTCTTTTACATTTCAAAGGTTTAGTTTACACCCTGAGTTTGTCATGGTTCCTTTTGAATATTCATATGAAATGAACCATTATCAACTATGAAACAATTTTTAGCCTCATATATTAAAGTCCAATTCATGTACTTATACATTGAGACCCATTTTCTTCTCACATTGGGCTGTCATAAGTCACTTTTTCAAAACAGAGCAAACAGGAAATATGGAAAGA